TACATTTAATAATTTATTTTATAGAGGTTTTTGGATTTCAGTATTATAGATAAGGGGTTATGAACCTGCTTTAGCTTTTCTAAGAACTTTGTTATAAAGTCAATTCAAATAGCACACATAGTAAACTAAAACGTCTGGAAGTTATTTTTTTTTAAATTGTCACATTTTCAGTGCCTATTGAGAACATAAGAGCTCTGGTGGCATAAGCCTAAGGCATTAGACTGCTAACCAGAACATAACACATAGTTGGTGCTCAATAAATATTAGTTGCATGAAGGTATGATGAATCATGGAGTTGCTTTGTGGTGAAGTTTTGTAGAATTTTATAACTTTATATTTAACTATAATAAAATTAAAAGTTTTCAATCACACCTTGTTCTGGTTACGTAGTGCTGCTTTGACAATAATATACCACAAATGGAATGGCCTTAACAAACAGGAGTTTATTCTCACAATTTGGAGGCTTTAAGTTCAAGTTCAAAGTGCCAGGCTCTAGGGGCTGAGTGAAAGTCCCTCAACCTTGGGATCCAGCTCTGTCTCCTGCTCCCAGCCCACTGGAGCTAGAGGCTTTTCTTCATTCAGACAGCTGCTGGCTGCTGAGGCTGACAAGCCCCAAGGTTGACAAGTAAAAAGCCACAGTCCTGATGTTACCAAACATGGCAGGTCGTTAACTTAAGTCCATTGTAAGTCCCAAGGTCAGCAGAGCATAGCAGGTTGCTGAGCAACAACATGGCTACATGCAAGGTCCAAACACGCCATAGGCTAGAGACCATTCTCAAGGCTTCTCCTTACATAAAAGAAGCAGACCACATTCCCAAAGGCAACTACTCAGCTGCTTGTGGTAGGTCCCACCATGGAATCGATTGCCAGTCTATCCTGGGGAATAATTACCACCAGCTGCCCAGCCACTCAACCAGGCCCAGCCAAGTTGACACACAAGCATAACTACCACAAGCCTCTTAATTGAGCATGGCAAGATCATTTTATCTTTTCTTTATTTCTTATCATTGATATATCTCCGACATTAATGTCAATAGTTTCTCATGACTCTTTGAGTAGATATGGAGACTTCTATCATGGCCAACAGGTTGCTATGTAATTTGGCCTCCTCTTCTCTCTTTAGTCTCTGTTCAGACCAATCACCCTCTTTGTGTTGTCACATTCCCAAGAAGGGTTCTGTGACTTATTCTACTTGAGGCTTCACACATAGTACTTTATGCTGAGAATATTATTATTCCCATTTTTACCAATTAATTTCTAATTTATCTTAGATGAAATTTCCTTAGAACTTTTCCATATTTTAAGACAGAGATATGTGGTCCCTTTTATGACCCAGAGTCTGATATCAGTTTCTTTTTTCTATTTTTTGACTCCAAAATGAGTGTAAATGTCCAAGAGGGAATGATTTATATCTGTTTCTTCAGTAAGATCATTTTTGTTCAGCATGTTACCTATCCACAAGTTGTTGTTACATGCCACCGAGTCATCTCTGACTCATAGTGACCCCATATACAACAGAATGAACCACTGCCTAGTCCTGCACCATCCTCACCATCATTACCATGGTTGAGCCCATTGTCACAGCCACTGACTGTGTCAATCCATTAGTTGAAGGTCTTCCCCTTTTTCACTAACCCCTGTTTTATTAAGCGTGATATCCTTCTCCAAGGATGGGTCCCTTCTGACAATATGACCAAAGTATGAAGACAAAGTCTGGCCATTCTCACTTATCAGCAGCTCTGGCTATACTTCATCCAAGACAGATTTTTCCATTCTTCTAGTAGCCCGTGGTATATTCAATATTCTTTGCCCACATCACAATTTAAATGCATCAATTCAGGAGTTGTGTCTTAAAAATATTGGCCAATAGGAACAGGAAGAGGAATAATGCATGTTTTATTGCCCTCATGAATAATTGCCTCCTTTGCCATGGAACCAGAACTGGATGGTGCCATGTTACCATTACTGAATGTTTTAATGCAAGATTCTATAGAAGAAGCCTGATCAAAAAAGGGTAAAATGTGGAGCCAAATTTCAAATTCTCATGGACTCTAGACTTTCAGGATCTATTCAGTTTGGATGACTTACCAGAGCTATTGCTCTGATATAATCTTTAAATTTCATACCAGAAATATCCCCTGAAATAGTCTTTAAACCAAATAATAGTTTAGCTTAATTAGTAAGTAAACTGTGTCTGCTTTGAGCATTATTCTATCTCTATGGAATTCTCTCTATGGAATCAAATTGACAAAAGCAACTCAAAAAGTTAGATAGAAAGCTTAGGGGACAATAAATTTATGTTAATGATGAACAAATTATTTGGAGGGAGCAGTGAGAAGATTCCGTGATCTGAAGAATGTAATCAATGGCACTGAATTGCATATGTAGAAATTGTTGAGCTGGTATATGTCTTTTTGAGTATATTTCACCCAAAGTGTCAAATAAGTGGTTTAAAAAATTATTGGACAAATGAAAAATAGAATTTTAGTGCTACTGTTATAATAAATGGGAATAATTAAGACTGATGTAACTTCCTTATACTCCTCCAAATTTTAACTTTGTTTTATTCTTATGTGCCGTCATGTCAGACCCGACTCATAATGACCCCTCTTTGGGTTTCTGAGGCAGTATCACTGTGGAAGTAGATTGCCCAACCTTCCTCTTGAGAAGTGGCTGGTGGGTTTGAACTGCCAGCCTTCTGGTTAGCAGTCAAATGCCTTAGGCACTATGTATGCTACCAGAGCTCCTTTATGTAACATAGGATATGTAAAATAAAGTATACAAAAATATTAGAAAAATATACAAATAAACATATACAAATGGGAGATCATTATTAATATGGCCCTGATATCTCAATTGATAAAATAATTAATTAAATTATATATTTATATATAATGTATATTAGAAAATTATAAAAATACTATAAAATTACATACATAGATAAACAAAAACTAAGAAATATTTATAATATAAATATCACATTATGGCTTATATATAATGAACATCTACAAATCAATTAAAAAAAGATAACAATGAGCAGATATATGATCAGACAATGATAAGACACTTAAAGTGAAATGTAAAATGGCTGGGAATAATAGAAAACTGTACTTTTTAATAATAAATTAATATATAATATCAGACTATATTTCTTCTCTGAGACATATCAGAAATATATATCTACTCATCAGCAATTAGAGAGGGACATAGGAGGGAGAGAAAAAGATTCATAAACTGAAATAATGGCAAATCCATGAATTCAGGATAACTGTACTCTAAAAGCTTCATAAATGGCAATGAACGATTTTTAAAAGAAATCCTGCTTTCAGATATACTGTTTTTCAAATATAGTGGAGTATTATGGCCTTTGGTTCACATTCTCTAATTTCTATGATCACAAAAGGAGGATATGGTTTCATATCTTTCTTTTTATGGAGGTGATTGAACAAGACTACTGGCAAGTCTCAATGAAAGAGGATATGAATTGTCTTATCTCTACTGCCTACTAACTAAGGTTTTTATCTCTGCCACTTTTCTCCAAGATAAATGGCATATATACAAAATTCTACTTGTAGCTTTGTGTACTGAAGTCTTATCCAAATCTAAGGAAAGAGATATTGAGTACAAGCCCTCCTAATAACAGAAGAGTCTCATTTATCTTGAAGATCTCAAGATTCTGAAATAGGCAAATATATTCATGAATATTGTAGAGCATACAGGGACAAAGTTATGAAAACTTAGCTACAACCAAATACCTTAAGGGAATGAGTTGCTGGGCCTTGAGGCTCAGGAACATAGTCTTAGAGAAAAGTAAGGTTAATTGGCATAACATAACCCACAAAGACAATGTTCTACATCCTACTTTGGTGAGTAGCAATTAGGCTCTTAAAAGCTTGCAAGTGGCCATCTAATACACTATTGGTTTCTCCTCATGTGGAGAAAAGTAGAGAGAAAAAAATGAAAGACTCAAGTAAATAATTGGTACAAAGGACTAATGAACCACATGAACCACAGCCTCAACTAATCTGAGACCAGAAGAGCTAGATGCTTCCCACTTACCACTATGGACTGCTTTGATCAGGATCACGCTGGAAGGTCTTGGACAGAATAGGAGAAAAATGCAGAACAGAATTCAAAATCCTATACATGACCAGCCTTACTGACATCCTTCAGACCTGGAACTGAACCTAACCTGGGGATGAAATTTCAGTCTAACTACACTCAGGACTATAAAATGAACAATAACACTCATAAAGAATATACTCCTCAGAACAATCAACCATCCAATACCAAAAGGGTAGCATTTGCCCAGAAACAAAATGCAGAAGATAAAAAGGAGAAGCAAAGGTGAGTGAAAGGAAAGGAAGATTGCAGGGAGGAAATGGAAGAGTG